AAAAAAAAAAAAAAAGGAGGAAAGAATATGCAGTAGTTCTTTATAGAAAAGTGTATAAAGAAGTAGAACTAAGATATGTATTCAAAAAGTATCAACTAGCAACCTCCTCCCTTATAATTGAGTTGTGTGACAACCATCAAAAACTCCCTAGCGATCCCTTTCCTTCTCTTGCCTTGAATTTTTTTTTTTTTTCCTTTCTCTAACGGTTGCTATTAGGGTAGATGACTAACTGTGAGAATTCTTCCCTCTTTCGTGGATGTTTTCCCTTCTTTGTTGAGGATTTCTATTTTGATTTTCTTAATATTTTTTATCGCAATTTGTTCTTTGCTAAAGGAGAATAGCAACTAGAAATACAATATTAGTTGGATTTAAATAAGTTATCGTGCTTGTTTCTGCTATATAAAATATGGTTGGAGACAAGTTCTCCAATTAAAGTTTTTTACCTCAACTAATTTATCTTTTTATCTAAATAGATTCTATTAAAATGTTACTTTTAAATCTCAAATTCAAATTTAACTACAATATTTATGTAAATATTAAATTATTTAATTTTATATTTTGACGCATTTTATTAACATAATACCCCTAATATATACTCATTTAAATTGATTTTATAACTCTTATGACTTTCATATATTAATAAAATTATATTTCTCATAAAAAAATATATCAACTACCACTTTTTTTTGTACATTTGACATGTTTTTTGTTCTCCCTAACGATGGAGATCTGCTGTTGACTAGAATTCAAAATTGGACACACTTTGAGAAGTAAATTGAGAACTGGGAAATTGAGTAACCTTTTTGAGGAATTTTTTTTTTAATCACCGTACTCCACTAAGCTCATCTTTCCTTACACACACCCACATGCACCACCATTGTTCCTTTCTTATTTGATTCCAATACCCTGCAACAATTTCTTCTCGGAGACTGCCAAAACAGAACAGAAGAATTCCATGTTACGCATTGTTTAAACAACAATATAAAATCAAGCCTTCAAGAAAGAATGAGCAGGGGCTAACTTACTCTATCCCATAGATGGGGGTCAGGTTTCTTGTAGACAATCACCTTGTCGAGACCAGCAGGATCAGCCATCTTCCACTTGCAGTGAGGGTGAGGGACTTTGTGGCGGGCATATTCGCTAACTGTTTGATTCGATGTGTAGTCCATTTTGACATTGGACATGTAAAACACAAAAGGCTTCTGGCATGGGTTTCTGCTAACTGGACGAGTGTTGAATGCATACGCCGTGTAGTCTGCTTTTCTATACCAATTCAAGAAGGTTCTAGAAGGCATCTCCATCTCACGGGGCGAAAAAACCCCCCTGAGAACTTGAACAGCAAACCCCCAAGAGACTGAAATGGTCCAGCTCTTGGCACTGTCATAACAGATGGATTGTTGCAGCAGTCCCGCTGAATCCAAATTTGCAGGCAACATTAGCCGCTGAAGAGCTTGAACCCTGGTCACGTTGGGGAAAATCGGCTCAACAACATCAAGATGATGCAGCGACACTAAAGGCGTCACGGGATGTGCAGCAAGAAGTCCAAACAGATTCCCATACACATCATACTAATCACCATTAAAGAAAAACAAGAATCAGTAATCATCATTTAAGTACAAAAATTACAGGATTTCATTCATTTAAGTACAATAATTGGTGCTATTTTATTTTTCTTTTTTAAGATTAAAGACAATTTTCCAACAGTTTATCCAATAATTCACATGGAAATGGGGGCAGAAAAGGGCAAAGCCACGACACTATATTTGCGTCACAAGCATAATTATTGTGTGGTCGATAAAACGTTTGTCCAACAATGGTCACGCGTGAGACCCACACCCGACACGCCAACGGGACTACTATCATGTTTGTAACGCAACCTGGGACACAAGTATTTTGAGCAGATCACGCGGGACCAGGCTAATGTTTCGACTATCTTACAAAGTTTCATCATTCATGTCCCGTGTAAAAGTATAGAAACCATATTAGTACTGAATTAATTACTGATAGTATTGCAATCCCGCGCCAATTAGAGTTTCCCGTAACTGAAATAAACAAATTGGAAAGCTCAAAAACATTACGATTTTTTTTTAGGGGATATGCCGACTGGTTAAAATTCTTATAAAAAAAAAAATAAATGTGGAGTATGAATATGCTTCAAAACCCAAGAAGATCTGCAGATATCCTGCGGTAAGAACGAAAATTTCAAGAATATTTTTTTTTACAGATAAGGATATAAGCTTCTTCTTCTTTTTTTCAAAATGAAATTTCATGAAAAATCTCCTCCACTCGTGAAGACTCAGTAAATATTCATATATAATAAAAAAAATATATAAATTTATATATATTTATAAATATATTATCAATTATTTTTTACTTATTCAACTTAATTAATTAATTCAACTTATCCAACCTAATTAATTAACTCAACTTAGCTTAAATTGCTCAAGCTAATTCTTTTTCTAGTTCTAATCTTCTCAGACCTAATTTAATAACTTCATCCAACTTGAACTTGCTATTGAATCTGTTAAATGTGTTTGGTAATATGTATTTATGGTAATTGATTACTAGATTTTGGTCCCCGCCTCCATTTGGACCCTTGCCATCCCTAAAAACCTAGTTATATAGGTACAAAAGTATTTTCAAATTAATAATTTAGTTGATTACCTTACTTCTAATGACCACAAATAAAGGTCATACAGCACTTTCCAGACTTCATTGCGTGTCCAAGATAATGGAAATCATTAAATAATTAAAAAAAAAAGGAAATATAGGAATAAAGATAATAACTTTATTATTATTATTTATTTAAAAATGTAAATTTTATTAATTTTTAAATAAAATAATATATTTTAAAATTTTTATTTAAACATATAAATATTATATTTTTATTTAAAAATTAATTAAATAATTAAAAATTATTTATCATATTAACATTACCGTTTGATTAATTTTTAAATAAAAACATAAAATTAATATCTCTTCAGTATACAAAATCAAATATTTCCTGTATTATTTAAAAACTAACAAAACCTTAAATAAAAAATTACCCAAATTCATATTTCCATCCACCTTAAATTATTATTATTATTATTATTTAGGGTCCGATCACGTTCAACGGTAAAACAGTTTTCCGAATTTTATACTACCGTAATTAAGGAAAATTAAAAAGAAAAAAAAAAAAAAGAAGAAGCAGTGAGTGAGTCACGGACCTGGTGGAATCCGAGTTCCTTAGTGAGTGGCACACCGAGTTCGGCCATACAAGCCTGCATTCTGTCATCGGAGCCGTACAATCCAGGGTACCTCTGAATACACCGGTCCTGCATCTTTGAGAGTGCCTCCGCCAAAGGGTAGCTGATAGCAAATCCACCGCCGCCATACGCCATGCCATACGAGAAATATATGTTCTGCAAGTGGGACTCCGACAGGCTCCCGATGTAATAGAACTGGTTGTGATCGTACTTATTCAAGATCCTCACCAGATTCTCCGTTATGAAAACAGTGTCATCGTCCCCCATCACGAACCACCTCACGTTCTCCTGCTTCAAATGCAGCGTCTCCGACACGATCCGCGAGATCCGAATCGCAGAACGGTGCCCCTTCCTGTTAGTGTACGGGAATTTCGAGGTGTCCTTCGAGATTCTCACCGGTGGCAACGTCTGCCGGTCCTCGGCGGTGTACTTCACTCGGTTGTCGAGCCACACCACGCCCCGCATTTGTTTTGGGCGGTACCAAATCTTGATGTACTCTTTCCTCTGCTGCCAGAGCTTGGAGGAAGCCGCGATACCAAAAACGATGTGCTGGATCTCCGTCCGGTTCCCACTGGCTTCCCCCTGAACATCTCGATGAGGTACACCGACCGTCTGATTCTGAATCGACGAAGGGAGGAAGGCTGTGTCGGAGATTAAAGGAAGCGAAATGTGTCGCTTATTATTAACAGTGGATGAGGCGAATAGGGAACCATCACAGGAGGCATCGGAGGAGGAGGCGGTGAGGAGCTTGAGGGTGTAGACGACGTAGGTGAGGGAGATGAAGAGGAGTAACCAGATCATGTGCTTGGGAACGGGTCGGGTAGCGGAGCCAGGAACGAGGGTGTTTCCGGAAGAGCTCCTCATCTGAACCTGATCCCACATGACCGAATCTTTCTGGGTCACTTTCATTTTTTGGCCAAAACAAACTTTACTAAACTTTAGAAATTTCAAGTCCAAAATAAAGCAATATCAGAAATCTTGCATGTATTATTTGATGGGGAAAAATGAAGAATCTGTCTCGGTGTCTTTAAAAGGAAAAAAAGTGAAGATAAAATATGCCCAAAAAGAAAAAAAAAAAAAAAAAATGGAGGGTCAGGGGAGATGAAGAAGAAGAAGACAGAAGTGAGTAAGAAAAAGGGGAAAAAGGGGCTTTGCTGTTGAGAAGAGTTAAATGCAAGGGCATGCAATGGTGCAAGGTTGCAGAGTATCCCCGGATTGAAGCTAAACGGGGAAGTATTATTATTAGTAGTTTTTCTGTTATTATCTTTTGTATGTGTGGGGGAATTCTTGGGTGTGTTAAGCTTTGTATTTGTGGAAATGTGTGAGCAAAGATTGTGGTGAATTACTCGTGTGGGAGCAGGAAATGGGACGATACTGTTTTAAAGGGAAAAAAATGGAAACGTTAGTTGGGCTGAACTGGAAAATGGGAATTAAGGATATTATTTGGGCCAAAAACTGGAAATTTGGGATTTGGAAGTGTTGGATTATTTTTTGGGATTCATATCCACAAGCAAATTTGGAAATGCTAAAACAAAAAATGGCAATGAAATCTTGAGGCTGTTCTTTCCCTTTTATTTTATTGTGGTAAGAAGATCAATTGATGCATCTCCAAATTCATAAATTCCCTTTTAGCTGGGTTATGGTAGGCTAAAACCCTTTTTTTTTTTTTTTGTGTGTGAAGGATACGAGACATGCTTTTGAGGGCACGTTTAACTGGGATTTTGTCCATTAGGTTCAATAACTTAGGAGAATTCAGAGCATGGCATGATATCCATAAGAAGCCAGACAATTGAAACAGTAACAGAAAGTTGTAGGTTTTCCATACTCATGTCATCAATGGAATGTGAAATTCAGCATTAAAGATGTTTGTGAGGGAGATGAGGTTGATTGCTGGTCTAATCAGAGAAAGGTGTTTTCTGTCCTGCATAATAGAAAGAGACTGACGTCTCTCTCACCACATGATGCAACTTCTATTAAAGCTCTGAAGAAAGGGACAAACCAATAATAGGATAGTACTCAACACAGATGCATCTTCCTCATCAATAAAACATGTTTCAACCAACAATGCTTGAAATATTGATTCAAAATACAGAAAAGCTAGGGTTGTGATCAAGCCACCAATCAAACCAGGAGGAATTGTGCTGGTAATCATCACCTTCAAAAACTACAGCATTATAGATTTGTTATGACTCTGAACATACAAACATCTCAAAAGCACCAAATATAAACGCTAATTCACATAGTTTCAATCCAGCAGGGTTCCTAAAGAGTCCACAAGTTATTATACTATAAATCTTATTAAAGATTTATGCCATAGTTTTGGCACCCTTCTTCAACCCCCTACTGGCAGGCTATCTAAAGGCTAGGGAATTCACAGCTCTATTGTTTGTCTTTGCAATCAAAACTTTGGTCTCCGTGGGAAAGATCCTTTTTAAGTGAGGAACACTTATGCAAGATATGTATACATCAAGGCCAAACATCAGGGGAAATCGCTCAAAACACGTCAGTTGTCATCACTATCGCGACTAGACCACATTTCTAACAGCGAGAGAGCAACCAATGGTCCTAGAAAAGGTGGGATCGGTGGAGGTCTGCTGAAGGCAACAATAGGATCTGTCTTCCCATTACTGATTGCCCCTGCTTCCTTGGAATCATTGTTCTCCACCAGTTTCTTTGGAGTCGTGGTAAACACAGTACCTGGATTAAACAACACCATCGTGTTGTCATATACAAGCTTGTCAACAAAAATGAAACAAAAAACACAATAATTAATGAGAGATAAAAGAAGGGAAATTACCCCATGATCTAGCCATAGGGTAGATTTGTTTGAATCTGAATTTTGTTGGCAAGAATAGAGCAATTCCTCGCATGTGTGTTTTAAGTGTCTTTTTCCTCTTAAGGAAAGCAACAATAAGATACCAAGAAACTCGCAACCTTCAAAACATGGAAACATGTAAAGAGCATTAGCAAAGTTTCCCAAATTCCTGGGATGGAAAAAGAATGAAACTTTGTACCAAAAAGAATTGCTTGAGGAACCTAATTCCAAACCCAGATTAAGATTGCGGTTGTAAAGCTTAAAAACATCGAATTCCTCAATTTCAATTCCATTTTCAAACGCCTAACTTTACAACTGTAAGCCTCAAGTCTCTTCCTTTGTCCCTCTCAGGTAAAAATTCCAAAACTTTCAATTGAATGACTAAAACTGAGAGCACAGAAGAGTTCAGGCAGAAATTTTGAGGAAAGCGAGATTATCCCCAGAAAAATCCATTAATTTCCGACGACAACAACAGCAATTTTTCAAGAATTTCCGGTTTCACACAAGAAATTTAGCATTGGAATTATTCACGTCCATTTTCTGAGAAAAACCCAGCAATTCGAAACCTAGAAATCGAAGGAAAAAAAACGCAAAAAATGTAAAATGTGTTGTAATGATGAACGGCGTACCTGCGGCGAGCGCTTGCTTCCTTTGCAGCAAACGAAAGAGACCGTCGACATTGCCCCGTTCCGCCTGATGTTGGAGAGGGTTAGAACTTTCGGGAAGTTTCAAGTTTCGGTAACTAGAATTGTCCACGTGGCAAAAGGCGGAAATGCACCTCGTACACGTGCCACAAATGAAGCTGGTCGGTAGATTCTCATCCTCAGTTGTTATCGGTTTGCGGGTATTATTTCGTTTTTAAATTTCAAGAGCTATTTTTTTT